GGCTCCCCGTGAGTGGGGTGGGGGAGGGAGAGGAGAGGGATTTGCAGCCAGGAAGCCTCTTCAAGCCTTTTGGAACATAGGAAACAGATCCGTTTGAATGCCAGTTCCTAGACTGTATCGGTTAAACCTTGCTGGATTCAGGCTTCACTGAAGCAGTGAATTATTCTCCTTAAAACCAAGACAGCCTCTGCGTGGAAAAGCCCCATTCCTTTTTTAAAATCTGTTGAGTCTCATACATTTTAAAAACCACCAAACCTGCTGCAGAATTCTTACAAATCTTGGGACACTGCCACTAAAAAGAAACCTCCAAGGCCACAGCAGCCCTGCCCTGAAAGCCCATCGTGAAGCACCTACACACAAGAATGGGGTCAGGATGCTGGCCTGGACTTAATGCTGGCAGGAAAGCACAAGAACATAGAAACGTTAGCTAACGGGAAAACTACAGAGGAGAATCAATCTCCTCTAGAGAGGGTGCCAGCACTCTTGGAGTTAGCTGCAGACACATTTGGAGAGCAAGGCAGTAAAATTCCACTGATTCACCATAGAACCAGTTATTTTTATCATTCTGCTTACCCGTAAACAGAACGGCATCTTATATGTAGGCCCGCAGATCTTTGCTATAAGCACCTATTCACATTTTAAACACATGAGAACAGACAAAGGAGGGACAAAACAGGCAAGAAAAACCTCCTTCACTACTTAAGAGTTCTCATACACACACATTCTGAAGTCAGCCCAATCGCACTGCAGTGAAAGCAGAGGTGGTAAAAACAGTCAAAGCAATCTGGGGCATCCTTTTACAAACAGGCACAAGCCCATCGCTGCAATATAGACTATGGTTTCTTCTAAGGTTCCCTCTCCTGCACCAGAAATCCCTCTTAGTCTCAGTCCAGCCCCATCTAGTGGAAAGAGAGCCTTAAACCAGTCTGTGCAGCCCTGGAGGAAGATGCTGAGGCAGTTCTGGCAGAGGGTGACTGATACTATGATTCAGTAAAAACCTGCCCCTTCTGAGCAAGGGTCTAAATGAGCACATACTCCCTTCTGCCTGTGTAACACTGTCCCCTTTTAGACACCAAGGAATACAGAAAGAATTTTCCACAACAACCTTGCCTTTCCCAGAGGGTTGATGAGGGTACGAAGGTGAGCACGTGAAAGCACAAAGGAAAGATAATCTGGGGGGGCCCCCAGGAGACCAAAGCAAATCCAGAGCTGAGAATAAATCCCAGCCCCTCTAAGACCATCCCCCGACTCTACCCCAGCTCCTAATCATGCTCCAGTGGTTTCCAGACACTGCCTCGTGAAATGGGTGGTGAGTGAGGCCAGAAGCCTCCATCCAGAAAAACAGTCCGAAGACGCAAACTTCCCAACCATCCCAACCTGGCCCAAACAGCAAGAGGGCATCCGGTCAACTCTTCCCTGTCCCTAGGGGACATAAATGACTGATCCAATTCTACTGACCCTCAGAGATTATGAGTTTAAGTAAGTTTCTGTGGATCAGCCTGGGAACTTAACCATCAAGTTGTTCCAATGGGAAAACAGGTTCCCAGTTATAAACAATAAACTTACAAATTCCTGGAATGTAACCTGTCCCCAAAGTCAGGCCTGACTACGTTAATATTTGGAATATAATGATGATTTTTTTTGGCATAAACTGGTAATGGACTTGATAATAATAATAAACACCAGGTACCACTTTCAAGGTACCACCCCCTCCTTTTGGAAAGCTTCCCAAATAACCCTAAGTAGCACTATCTCTCCTACCTAAGCACTCTCTCAGTCCATTCTCCTTTCGGGCAGGCCTACTTGGCATGTGTGTAGCAGGGGTATGGATCTGGGGGAAGGAGGTGAGATGGGAGGCAATCACTCAACATGATGGAAGTAACTGCAAGAGAGACGCCTGGCTGTCAGCCTCGGTCAGAGGGACCATTCTGTGCTGGGCCCCTGCGCTTACAGCCCCTTGGCTGGTGCCTAGGTTAGCCACATGCAGGCATGTCTTTGATTCAAGTGAAAACTCCTTGAGATCAAGAACCACAAGGATCCTAAGAACCATCCTGAGACCTAGGAATACCACTAGGATATACCATTTCTTCCCACAAAATGTGAAAGCAACAAACACCTAAAACCAACAGGACCACAATGCAATGTGGATTCATGGAGGGCATCTAGGGCTCACTCGTTAGCCAGCTAAAAAACTGGCTCTCAACATATCAACCTCAGGAGTCAAACCAGTGCCCCACCAAAATTACAGATACGTTTCATGGCCTCCAGGGCTGTTTGAAAAGAGGCAAAAACTTCTGAATGCTAATAAATACATAACACAAAAGTCCACCCTGTTTCTTCTCAACCACTTCATAAAAGTGAACCTTCCCAGCACCTAACACACCCTGGCACATAGTCTCCTTCGTACATGCATGTAATGCCTTCTGAGGCTATGTCAGTGCACAAAAAGAACTTGACAAGTGAACAAAATGCCTACTACAAACGTCACTGGAGTTAGTGACTACGGGAGGACTGGCTGCAGCTAAGGGAATATCAGACTAAACTTAAGCTCCACAGTGCAGCCATCTGACATGCCACTCAATTTTAAATCTCCAAACCAGGGAACTCCCAACTACACTAGCCCCTCGTCTCATTTACCAAAAGCCACTGTGAAGAACATTAGTGAGTGTTACAAAAACAAAGTAACATGGTCAAGTAAAATTGACAAACTAGGGCATCTTATGGAAGGGCTTCTCACCATTTATACGCTAAGGTGTGCTGTGAATTTCCAGGATTAGATCATGCAAGGCTTCCCACATCTTTTTTTTTTTTTTTGGCCGCGCTGCATGTGGGATCTTAGTTCCCCGACCAGGTATCAAACCCACGCCCCCTGCAGCAGAAGCTCAGAGTCTTAACAGTGGACTGCCAGGAAAGTCACTTTTTTTTACTTTTTTTTTTTTTTTAAGGCTTCCCACATCTGATCACACACACCCTCCATTTTTGGTGGAGCATATCTGTATCACTAGCATTTCAGAGACCACACTTTGGAAAACACTACCTCAAGCAAATAAATACCAGATACTGATTTATCCTCAGAAAAGCAAACTTAAAACATGAACCTCCCACACTGGGGCTAGGCACCACCTTTTTATGTTGATGTATAATAGACACAGTATGGTATATTTTAAGGATGGTGCTTCTCCTTCTCTGAGGAGTCAAAGTAAAAAACCAAACAAACAGAAAAACCACCCAGAAGTAAAATCGTTAACTATAAATGAACTAAGTGATGGCAACAGAGACCTTGGTGGGGCACCGGCACCTTGTCAGGAATCTGGAATGTAGGTCTGGTGTTGTCAGCAGCTCTGGCTTGATTCCAGGTGAGCTCTTCCCAGATCTGAGTTTATTCTATCCATAAAGGAGAAAGAGTACCACACTACCCCAGCACTGCACACAGAGGCCTGAAAACTAGATGAATTAATGCGGCAGTTCTCAAAGCGTGGTCCTCACAGTAGCAGCAGCAGGGCTACCCACGCACTGTGAGAAATGCAAATTCCAGGATGCTGGTCACGCTAGCCCTCAACAAGGCCAAATCCTCTACTTGGAAAGGGGGCAGAAGAAAGCATTCCTACTGTACATCCCTGAAAGCACATAAGGAGGAAACTGACTTCTCTCCCTGTTCAGTGCCTTCCATCACAGAACCTGGCTAATAACTCTTGGCCAAATTTTATATGCTTCTCTTAAAAAAAAAAAAAAAAAGGCAAAAGGATTCATAGCCTTGCTATTAAAACCAAACCCCTTTGTTTGGTTTAAGTTTTAAAAAAATGTTATACACACAGTCTCCATCGCTTACTGTTGTTATGATTGTGGAGAGGAATAAGCCACCGAGCATTTCAGGTTGCCTAGCAACACCTCAGGCACACTCTTCAGAGGTGCTCTCAAGAAGCTGAACGCTAGCACAAAACAAGGTGAAGCAATCAAAAGAAACGTGCAGTCTGTGCCACATCTCGGCAGAAGGTTTACAAGCAGTAAGAAAGCCTGGCGTGAGGCGTGACTTTACTTGGGCCCATCACATGTAGCAAACCTGCACAAGGCTGCTCGCCCCACATGACTAAAAGCAGCATCATACAACACCCAGTACTGTACACAGAGCACATCTTCAGAGGTTATTTCATTTGACCACTGTGACAAAGTGGATGGGAGAACGACCACCTGAGTTCAGTATCCAAGGAAGCCAAGTGACTTGGTCTAGGCCACACAGTTGGGAGCCCCAGAAGGAGAATCAAGTCTTCTAGTCCTGGACTTTCCCTGCTCCACTAAAAACTGATTCCCGTTTCTCTATCACCTACTTCTAGGAAACCCAACAAAATAAGATTCTTCCTCCAAACCAGAAACCTTGGGCATGAGTTTAGAGAAGCGGCAAACCAACCCAACAAACTGACCTTGAAGAATTTCTACAAGGATAGGTATCACTATAAAATCAAATCCTTGACATGTTTGAGGAATTCGCTATATACTATGTGAGAAAAAAGTCCCATTACAGAAAATTGTGATTAAAATTGGCTGGACCAGGTAAAACCATTTTCCTATTGGGGATTTTAGGCTCTGGTTATACACATTAGTAATAAGAAGTACATTTTGCTTGTTATCTGCAACCTTCATATTTACAAAGGATGCACTGAGTAGGTGGACAACACATTGCTCAATGAGGTGTTTTAAAGGCGGAAGTTAAAGAAATGCCAGGGGAAAACAGTGCTTAAGTTGACAAGAAAAGAGTCCCACAATCAAAAGCTTATAAATGTGTTACTGCTGGCATGACCTCTTTGGGAGCTCTGATTAGCTTACTGTGGGTCAGCATAAATGCATCCCATCTGCAACACAACATTGCTGGGGCACATACCTGCACGCCACCTGGCGCAGTGGGGATCTGACTATGAGCATCTAATAACTCCTGAGATGAATTACACAGCGCTCCTTATGGAGCCCACCAAAGGCACGTGTCCAGTGACTCACGAAGGACTTACCCTCCCCTGGCGTGCTGCTGACTGTGGGCGGAGATCCTATAAGGAAGAGCACGCTCGCCCAGGTTCTCCAAGTTCCTCACCACAGCCCCTCTGTCCATCAGGGTTTCTAGTGTACGCTTCAAAGCAGCAGCGGTCTCTGGCTGGTTTTTGTTTTTGTTTTTAAAAAGAAGAAAAAAACACATCAGAATCAATGTAAGAACTAGAATGATTAAGTGTGGTCAGTTCCAATCATAACAGCTCTATTGGTAGGGATCTTTGGGTAAAAGCAACAGAAACTACTTTTGGCTAACTTAAAGTTTAAAAAAAAGAGAGAGAGAGAAAGACACATTTATCATAAGGATATGAGATAGCTCACAGATACGAAGGAAAATCTGAAGCAGCAGGCCTCGGAGAGTTCAGGGACCAGAGCAGCTCCAGGGATCTGGGAGGCAGGAACTAATGAGTGTTGTCTTCAGAGCACCTTGGCCAGGATGAATCAGCGCCAATCACTGTCAGTCCTTGTAGCCCATGATTCAAAATTCAAATTCCAGGGAAAGAGCATCCTCTTGGACGGCACC